ATAATTTTGCTTGGCCAATCACATCTAATGAACATCATCAGGTGTGATAGCCAATAAAATAGAACTTCCGTCATGCTTATACGTATATAAACATGCATTTAATGTTCTGTCATGCACTAATAAAACACGTTCACGAAATTTCGTTGTAAGATGAAAGATTTTGAATTTCCGTTATACAGTACTTAATTATTTAGAGATTGGAACAGTTCAATTGTTAACCGATTAACCGGCCAATATCTAGGCGTGGGAGGGGAAAAGTTCATACGTATTAGAGATCTGCAAGACGGGCAAAAAGCATTGGCAAGGCACAGGCACAAAAAAAGCATTTATAAGTATAGATTTAAAAATGTCAGGCATAGTTGGCACTTTGGTGCCTGCCACACTTCCCATAATGTGTCTAACAATTTTGTACCTAGTGCTAGGGGTGAATATACTATATTTATACAGCTATATGAATGTTTGTTACAAACCAAATTGGATTCAGGTGTGATACGAATAGAAAATTTATTATATCTTTCTGTTACATCTTTCTGTAGCTGTTTTCATAAAATTCTCGGAATTAATAAATTACCGATATTCAAAAATCAGAAACTTATCGATTCGTTCATCGGTATTTTTTTTAGTTGTCCCAGGGCGAGAATTTATAAAAATAGTTATAATAATATACAAAAAAAATTTTTTTTTTTTTTTTCATGCAATAAATACGTACGTATATGCTTAATATAGAAAAAATTTTTAATTTTTATAAAAAAATCATATGATTGGCTGTTTAAATCTACTTAATTTTATATTATTGGCGTTTAAACTAACGTTAGAGACTAAGGGGGCTATAGTAAAATTACTCAAGGAATTTTTTTTTGTTAGCCCACGAAAGGCGGCTTCTTATGTAATCAACGATTTTTGACAAAATTTGACGTTTGTTTTGGATCTTCGCGATCGTGTTACGTTGCACCAAATTGTGATTAATTATTGGCTAATCTGACGTAAATTGTCACGTGAAAGTGATATTCTGATAACTACCAACTACCCCAACAGCAGAAATCGTCTATTTCTTGAAAATCTGCATAGGAAACCACCTTTAGTGCTTTAACAAAAAGTTTTCGCTAGACAAT